TCTATTCATTAAAATAATATAAATATAATAAAAATATTTATTTTTTCAATAAAATTATTTATAGAATTATATTTATTTATTTAAATAATAATAATCTATTTATTTATTTTAAAAAATTATCTATAAACATAATAAAATTCCACTCCATTTTCCTTTTATTTTCCTCTTACCAAATAATTTTTTTTTCTACTCTATTTTCTTACATTTCCTTTACACTTTTCTTATCTCATTTTCTCTGTTTTTCTCTTCATTTCTTTCCTCTTTACCAAAAATTCTATCAAAATTGATTTTTAATTGATTGATTGTATAAATTCTTTTACGATAATAGTATATTTATTAAATTTAGTTAGTAACATTAAAATCTACCTTAAAAGTCACACTAAAATTTATTTTTAATTGATTGATTGTATAAAATCTTTTATGCTGACAATGCATGTATTTTAAATTTAGTTAATAACTAAATTTTTTAACAATTAATATTATTTTTTTAAAATTACTTTTAAGATTATATATTGATATACATCGTCTCATACTTTTTTTTTCAGCTAATTACTTTTCACGTAATTAATAGATATATGGAGAGAGAATAGTGGTTACGAGTTTATCTTATTAACGTGTGTGACTACCCATCTTCCCTATTTCTTATAACAGAGAAAGAGTTTATCTCAGTAATTTACATTATTTTTTGTTCATTGATCAAATAAATTATAAAATAATTATGGGTATACCTTATGTTTGCATAGTCATACACATAAAATACAACTCATTAAATAATTGGTGATAGAAATTATTTTCGTAAAGAATAAAAAATAAAAATAAAAAACCAACACCACTTTCCCTAAGTTAGTAAACTTTTAAAAAGTGCACCAACTTAGTAATTTTACTACAGATAAAAAAAAAAAGACCAAAGTGGTAAAATAGTAGCATATATAAGAGAATATTTAAGAGAAGCAATAAGAGCCTTCTGTTTCTGCTCTCCCTTATCTCCTTGAGTGTTGAACAGAGAAGGGAGAAGCCAATCATGGGTTCCACTTCACTACCATCTTCCATTCAGATGTCATCCACACATTCCACCTTCACTCAAAAACTCAGCACCCCTCTAAAGAAGTTTCAGATTGTGATGCCTACAAGAGACACACAATTTTCTTGCAAACTTCTTCACAAATCAGTTCCTTTGGCTGCTTCAATTGCAATTCTTCTCTGGTCAACCCCAGGTACTACTGCTGCTATTTTAGTTTTCCTAAAATGTCTTAAAATAAATGATATTTTATTTTGTAACCATTTTTTTTTTTTAATTTGTCTATTTATAAATTATCCAACCACCAAACTTAAAAGTAATATATTTATTGAGAGAATAAGTTATTTTAGTAAAATTATACATTTATTGTTGGTGTTAATATGTGTGTAGAAATCTTAAGCTGCAGACATTATGCGATGAAGAGAATACTGTGTGTTCTTATGTGGCATGCAGTTTTTTCACTTTGATATGTGGTGATTGTTGTGTTGGCTGAACCTTCATTGGATATAAACATAAACATGCTTATTACTGTTACTAAGGACTAAGTTGTATCTTAAAGGTTGAGCATTTTCTTATTTTGCAGCACATGCTGGGTTCATGTCAGGAATTTCTGGACTAGAGTCTATTCCTGGTCCTCAGCTACCTCAGATTGACTTTATCAAACGTCTCAATGGTCTCAACTTAAACTATTATGTTTTTGTTTTGCAGCACTTTTGTATTTTGTAAAGTACTGGAAGTGTAAAATAATTTTACACCTTAAACCAATCAGAAATCACTATAAATATAACTTTTAAGATAGTTTTGTAAAAGTGAACAAATGTATTATATATGTTTGTTTAAGATTGGATGATAGTGTAAAATTATTTTACATTGTTAGTGCGAAGTCTGTTTTCTCTTATAAACTCAATTTGATGAAATTGAAATTGGGTTCTTTTTTATTTTGCAGAAGAAAACCAGAAGAAATATGCTGAGAATGATGCAAGAATTAAATCATCCCCCCTGATGAAGAAACTGCTTGAACAATCCAAGTTGAATAAAGAGAAGTAATTTTTTTTTTTAATTCTGTGTATTGTTATTATTGGGATGCAAGCAAAGTCCCACATCATTCAAACAAGAGGATGAACATGTTGGGATGGACATGAGTTTATATACACACAATTGTCTCCATTGGTTGAGAAGCCTTTTGAGTAGTGTCCAAAAGCAAAACCGTGCGGGCTTGGGCCCAAAGCGGACAATATCTCACCAATGTGGAGATGTGTATATGTGTGGTAATCCCCCAGTGCTCGACAGTTTTCATAGTCAAAACCTTAGGATGCTGCTATGGATAATCGATGGTTAATAATAATCTAGATTTTAAAAAACGGTCCTTAATTGCGATTCTAACTTCAACATCATGATAAAACTGAGGCCGTGAGCACAATTTAAAACCTTATTATAATCATGACATTTTTTTGTGATTTTTCTTCATCCATTATAAGCAATGTACAATAACACTTGTGTTTTACTCTTCAGGAACCGTAAAGAAATTGAGAACAAGTACTGCATACGTGGGGCAGAATGGGGAGTTGGAGATTGTTCAACTGAGGGAATGTCTCCAGCTGAGAGGGAGAAATTCATAGCAATGTTGAAGCAGAAGGCTGGAGTGGAGTGATATATATGATGCCACTAGAGCATAGAGAACACAAATAAATTATATATAGTTTCTTATAAACTATGAATAGGTGCAAGTGCAACTTTAGCATTTAGAATTGCTCTAGGTGATGAATCAATTAGGCCTCATGCAGAGTTTCAAAATTTTGTTTTTGAAACAATTGCACATGATTTATTTGTGATATTGAGAAAGAAAAGCTCTTACATCTACCTTGATTCCTACTTTAGATGGTTTTGTTTTGTTTTCCTTAATGCTTTTGCCCCTCTTTTGTTACCACTATTCTTGTGCAAGTTTATGGCATCTGAAGTGAATTGGCTATTGACAAAATCTGATAAACATTCTTATGAGCACCAGCCCAAGGTAAAAAATATTTGAGGTTGAATTTGGAATATCTGATGATCTTTCATGAGTCAAGCTACACTCTGATGGTCAAGTCAATATTTGTGAAAGATGATAAAATGATAACAAATTAACAATTAAAGAATGTTTGTGTCTTAAATTTGTTAAACACACTCAGGGTGTGTTTTTTTCCTAAGGAAATAGCTCACATAATATATTAAAACTAACCAGTAACCACTAATAATTAATCTGCGTTTGTAAAATGTATTTTTTTATTAAATATTATTTTAATGCAGACAAAAATCAAATATAAGAGATTGATAACTTATGTCCCAAAAATGGTGTTACTTAAGGTGTGATTGTGAACTGTTTGCATCAATGCACAGGAAAAGATACACATTTCAATGCACCAAATTGATAAACAAATTTTTTTTTTTTCATTTCAACAGGGATTTAGTGTTTTTCAACTAGAAACCAAGCATGCACTTATTAGGCTCTCCTTGAGTTAAGATGATGATGGCGTGAGAAAGGCTTCTGTAACGAATTCGTTGATTTGCTGATACTTGCTACTAACATTATATGATCATATCCAATGCCTCATATTAGGAGTTGTAATGCAGTATCAAGAAAAATCTTGAGTGATACCCTTCTGAACCTATAAATAAGAAGAAGAAAAAAAAAAAACATTTTTCATTTAAATAGAACCAAATTTTAACCCAATTAACTTTATTTAATATTTTTAATCTAAAATTACATCTAAGATAATAAATAAGAATATTGTTTATAACAAATGTGATTAAAGATATTTTATATAATATAATATATATATTTTATATAAATTGTAAAAAAATAAATATATTTAATTATCTTCCTTAATTTATATGAAATTATTTATATATATGAGGAGGGATCCGTTTACTCCATGAGTAAGTCTATCTAAACTTATTCTATTCAATAATACATGTTCTATATCAAATTTTAATGATCAAGCCGTTTTTAATACATAGATTAAGTATGCAAATTTTTTAAAATTTTAAAAATATTTAATACTTCATTTCATTAATTTAAATTGATGGATAATTATAAAATTATTTTATATATTAATTTAAATTAATCTTCCAAAATATATATATATATATATGTGTGTGTGTGTGTATTTTGACGGAGTAAGAAACATTAGATTGTGAAAAGATAAAGAATAATTGAAGCTAGTAGTCATTGAGATTGAGGCAACATGTTCACTGTAGGAATCAGAGTAGGTCTACTAGTAGCCAGAACACATTATAACAACAACAAAAACAAGCAAAACCACACACATAGTGCAAAAGGGTAGACAAATCCACTCAATGCCATAACAACAAAACATTATTATAGGGTAGACTATCACATAAGAAGTCCTATTGACACAACTTACTTAGTACAACAGTGGAACATGACACGTGAATACATTTTCTTATAGGGTAGAAAATATAATGTTTGGGACTTGTGTTATGATAGGAGTTTCCGTCAAGCAAAATATTACTAATATGTTGGTAAACTGAGTTAATTACCCTTCTTTGAGTTTTTAAATTGAGTTAACTATAACACTTGTTAAAGAATGAAGCACATTCTAGTTTGTGATAAATGTTCTAATTTAATATATATATATATATATAGAGAGAGAGAGAGAATACTAATATACTCACGTTTTATATCAAATTTTAATGATTCAATTATTAAATTAAAATTTTTTAATATCAAGTTTGCAAAATTTTAAAAATTTTGAAAACAATTTGATACTCCGTTTGTTTAATTCAAATTGATGAATAATCATAAAAATATTTTATACGTTGATTTGAATTAATAAAATTGAGTATTAAATAATTTTTAAATATTTTAAGATTTTGTAGACTTAATATATGTATCAAGAATTTTTAATTCAACGGTTGGATCAAATTACTCAAGAGTAACTCTTACTAAAGTTACTTTATTCAATAGCTCATGATGTTTGTTGAATTTGAACCACTAAATTGTTAAATTAAAAATTTTTAATATATAGATCAAATTTATAAATTTTTAAAAAATTTATGAATCATATAATATTTTGTTATATAGATTCAAATCAACATATAAAAATATTTTTATGATTATTCATAAATTTAAATTAATGAAATGAAATTAAATAAATTTCAAAATTTTAAAAAATTTGTGATTTGATATATATATTAAAAACTTTCAATTTAAATATATGATCGCTAAATTTAATATATATCATGAATTATTAAGTAGAGTAACTTTATCAAGAATTACAATATATACATGCATACATACATACATATATAATTTGAGGCATTGCACGAATATATCCATAAAAAAATAAAATATAATTATTAAATTACATACATACATAATAACATCTATATTTTTAATTTGAACATCAAATAATTGATTAGAATAAATATGATGCTACAAATGATATTTGAAAATGAATAAATATGATGTTGGTGTTGATTATTAATATGTCTTGACTGAATGTTATGAGAACGTAATAATTTAATATACTGACTTATCTCTTTCAATAATTACAACCGGTATTTCAATAAGTTGTTATACAAATTAAATATTTATTACTCCCTTTTAAAGTAATAAATACTTAAAAAAAATTACTAAAATATAAATAAATTTTAATTAAGTTAATTTTATTAAATATTTTTAATCTAAAAATATTCTTATAATAACAAATGAGAACACCATCCATCATAAATGTCTTTAAGAATATTTTAAGAAATATAATGTACATTTTATGTAAAATTGTAAAAATTAAATACACTCAATGAACTTTCTTAATTTATATAAAATTGATTATATTTTACTTTATATATAAGTTAAGAAGGAATATATACTATATAACTAAAATTTATAATAATTATACACATAAATAAACAATATGTTTGAATATATACATTATATAAAAATTTATATAAATAAATATTTTAAGTATATAAATTATATTTTATATTTATAATAAATAATTCATAGTACAGAAAAATATGTTTTTACTTATAAATAATTTATTTTAAAATATTAAAATTTAATTCATAAATAATTATAATAAATAAAAATTAAATTATATAAAAAAATT